AGTAGACGTTCACTGAGCACCTACTGTGTGCCAGGTACAGCACTGTGCTGACTATTGCTGAGGGCACAGAGGCACTGGTAAAAGATGGTGCTACAAGGACTGATGGGTGCCTTGCCAATGAAGCTGGTAACTTTCTGCAACCCAAACCTAAGGGATGTCCTGACAACTCATGAGGGGTACAGAGACTGAAGTAATCAGAAAATATAGAGAAATTCAAAACTGGGGAGTCTTCTTTTTCATAACAATCACCTTCTAGAAGTATCAAAGCTTTTGCTCAAGAAAATAAGTTGACCTTCCTTGTGGCTTACCACAATGGCCCAGAGCAAGTGGGGCCCCAAGAGGTCTCCGCCCCAAGCCCAGACCTAGAGAGGCAACCTTGACCCTACATGTAGACCACACTAGACTTGTGTATGAGTCTGCTCGGCCTGCCCTAACGAAACACCACAGACTGGGTGGCTTAAACAACAGAATCTGATTTTCTTACAATTCTGAAGGACAGAAGTCCAAGATCAAGGTGTCAGCAGAGTTGGTTTCTTCTGAGGCCTCTTTCCTTGGCTTGTAGATAGCCATTTTCCCCATTTCATCACAGGGTCTTCCCTCTGTGCATGTCTGTGTCCTAATGTCTTCTTATTAGGACACTAGTCATATAGGATAAGGACCCACTCTCATGACCTCCTTTAACTTAAATTACCTTTTAACAAGTCCTATCTCCTAACACAGCCACATTCTGAGTTACTGGAATTTAGGACTTCAACATATGAATTTGGGAGAACCCAATTAAGCCTATAACATCTTGGAAGCCCAGCACCCAGTAGGAAGAGACCATAAATGGAAGCTTCTAGAAACCTGCTAACAGCCAGTGCAGAGATACCCAGAGACACACAGGACCACAGACTGGAAGGGCAGGAGCTTCTGAAACTTCCAGGATCCCCAGGTGACCCAGAACATGTCTGGTTCCAGCCATTGCCAGGAAAGCTAGCTCCCAACTTGGCCACAAGTAATTTTGCGTGTTGCCCACATATTTTGTAAACTTTTGGTGTGCTTGAAGCATTTTAGCACCCCCAGTGGACAGTGCTCCGAGAAGACAGGGCAATTTGAGGCTGGGGCTTCAGAGGGTGGCCCTACACTCAGCAGGGAGTAGGCATCTGCACTCTGCCCCCTACCTCCTGGAGCTGGAGCAGCCCCTGGTGAAAGTGCCTGATCCTTACAGACAGTAGACAAGGTGGCAGGGGAAGTGGGGGTGGGAGGGGATGAGCAATGATGACAACAATCTGATCATTTTCTTCATGCCCCTTCCTTGGGAAGAAAGATGGAGCATCTGAATTTAAAGGCTTCGGCTTCTAAAAGATTGCATTTATTTTGTCAAAGGAACTCCCTAGTGATTTGCCCTGAGTTTCCTGTCTCAACAGCAATTTTGCATTTTCCTAAGTTTGTACCAGAATACTTATTCCTGTGGGAGATCTTTCAGGGGCAACTTGTTCTTTATTGGAGAGTGAGCTAAGTGTTGAATTTCTGTTTTTGTGTGAATGGGATGACAGAGGTGTGCAAGTCTGGAGGCCTCTGGCCTCTGCAGATCTCCCGGGGCTCGCTCTTAGGAGAGGGAATAAGCAAACTCCTGCAGCTCACCCCAACACCTAGCCCGACTGCCGACTGCCGTTGCTGTTAATAATCTTCTGGGCACCACAAACACATCGCTCCTTTATTTCCGTGCTGATAAGGATAATTTCCCTCTGGAGAAGGCAGGAAGGAAGCTAGACAATGCGAGTAAAGCAAATGTCAGCTGCTGTCTGAGCACCTGTGTTATTACCTAAAAATGCATGCGTTCAGCCTGCGTTTTTTCTGTTATTTGGTCCTAAGAAGACTGTTCACTGGAGATTTTCATCTACCAGGGAATAAATGAATATTTCTCTCCACACAGGAGTTCAACAGAACGGAGCAGAAGATTCAGGGTGGGGGTGGGGAAGCAGATCTACACCCCTCCCTACCACGTACATCTGTAGTGGGGGGTTGGGAAGGGCCATCTGCTGACTGGATGCTTCTGCCTGGCTTCCTTCTCCTGGTAATAAAAAGCTTTCAAAGCACTCTGAACAACTGCATTCTGCATAAAAGCCCATTTGGACCATTTTCTGGATGGTTACTTCTTGGTAATAATTAGTATTAAGAGCAATGTAATGTAATTACATTTCAAAACGAATGTAAAAGGCCCTACCTTGTAGATACAGCTCGGGTCTGGGCCAGCCACCAAGTCCAAACTCCTTTTCAGGGCCAAGATATGTACGGCATCTGGAAGGATGGCCACGCATCCTCCCTCAGCTTGCTCACCTTGAGTGTCGGGGAGCTCGCTCCTGACTGGGCATCCTATCCCATACCGCTAACTCTGATAAGTCAAACATGTCTTTGTCCTTATCTGGAACTTTCATTTCTGGTCCTGGTTGGTTCCCTGTGGAGTGACACAGAATAAGTCAATTCCTTTCTTCACACATTGGAAGGGAACTCTCCTGCCTCCCCTCAGCCTCTCTGAGCTGAATATCTCCTTTCTCTGAAGTCACTGACACAGGACCCTTCCTTGCCACCTCGGCTGCCTCCCCTGGACCGTCTCTAGAAAATTAGGGCTTTGTATATGGGATGCTCACAGTCTACCAGCCAGAGGTCAGCAACAGAGTGCCACATACAGGCAGGTGTGTGAAGTAAGTGGGAGGGGGTGAAGCTAAAGATGTACGTCTGTCTCTGGCCTGCTGTCTGCTTCCAGAAACAATGCCATGCTATGCAAGGGGATTACATGTCATTGGTGTACGCCCCCTAGCTGTCTCTGCCACACAAGCTAAGGCAGACGGCAGTTTGGGAGGTGTTACATGAGATTTTCTCAGACTGTGTGTATGGTTATGTTCTTAACCCCAAGTAAAATAGTAATTTAAAATCAAGTCATGACTTTTCACTTTAGGACCCAGGAAAAGAATGTAAAACCACCATATTAGGTACATGTTGCTAAGTAACAATTTACTCCAAAACTTAGTGGCTTACAACAATAACAAATATTTGTTACCTCACAATATCAGTGGGTCAGGATTTGGGAGCAGCCTGGCTTGGCAGTCTGGCCTACAATCTCTCATGAGGTCACAGCCAACATGTCAGCTGGGCTGCCGTTATCCGAAGGCTTGACCAGGGTTAGGGGAGCAAACTCTACGGGGCTCATTCACATGGCTGGCAGGTTGGTACTGGTGATTGACAGGAGGTGTATTAGTCTGTTTGGGCTGTCATAACAAAGAGCCACAGACTGGGTGGGGGCTTCAACAACAGGTATGTATGGTCTCCCAGTTCTGGAGGCTGGAAGTCTGAGAGCAAGGTGTTGGCAGGGTTGATTTCTTCTGAGGCCTCTTTCCTTGGCTTTTAGATGGCTGTCTTCTTCTTGTGTCGTCACATGGTCTTCTCTTTGTGTGTATGTGTCAAATTTCTTCTACTTATAAGAATACCACTCATATTGGATTAGCACCACCCCTTGCCCCCCCCCCCCCCCATGAGCTCGTTTAACTTAATTACCTCCTTAAAAGTCCTGTCTTCAAATATAGTCATATTCTGAAATGCTGGGGGTTTGGGCTTCTACATATGAATTTGGGGGAGGGGCACAATTCAGCCCATAACAGGAGATGTCAGAGCTTTCCACATGGGCCTCTCCATAGGCTGCTTGTGCATCCTCAAGACATGGGGACTGGCTTCTGTCAGAGAGAGCAGTTCAAAAGAGTGCAGGATAAAGGCAGCAACGTCTTTCATCACCTCGCTTCAGAAGTGACACAGTCACTTCTGCGACATTCTGGAGTTAAGAGTGAGCACCAAGTCTGTCTCACACTCAGGGAAGGCAAATTAGGCCCCATTTTTTGAAAGGAGGACTATCCAAGAATTTGCGGACATATTTTAAAACCACTGCAGCTGCCACAGAAATAGTTCCCTCTTGTTTCTGTTAGACTCCAATACAATGATTGCTGCCTTTACATTTCTTTCTTCCTCAGCCTTCCATTTAAAATGAATTCAAATCTGGAGTCCCTATCACTGATTTTCTTGATATTGTAGGGGCACCTATATTTGCTCGGTAGATTTCTTTGAGAACTTCTCTTCTATGATGCAGTCACTGTAGTTTTAGGGAGAAATGATGGTTTGGGGTAATAACATCCAATATGATTTTTTTTTCTAGTTAAATCTATTCATGTCTAAGCTTTTAGAGCAAGGCTAGATGGATGGAGTTCTTGTTTAGAGCACATTCACCATGGTATTCAGTGTCAATGTTCTCTAAGACGGTTCAAATAATAAATCAATTTGGTTGGGGGAAAAAAAGATTATCCCAGGATGTTTACAATAAAGGTAGACCTGATCAAGTTGTGTAGTTCTAAAAGGTAGAAAAATAATTATTCATGAGATACAATAAAAGTAGAACTTAGGGTATGTAAAATCAAATTATATCTGAGGTCTTACTGATTCTGATGGCTAAATGTCCCCAGCTCTATGCATATTCCCATGGAGATTAGCTTGCTCAAAGGAACAAACTGAAATTTTTTTTAAAAAAATAAGAGGTATTTATTATATAACTGAGACAGAATTCTGAGATCCCAAAATATGTTCTTCCTCAGCTGGCTTTTTCACACTCTGCATTCACAGTTCATTCTGGCTAATGCATTGCAAACCTAGTTTTCAATATGAATGTGCAGGTTAGATTAATTAGATGCTGAAGAATTGCAACCTTTCCATGTTTTTAATATGTTATACCGAATAGATGAGAAGAGGGGGGAAAAAGAGAAAACACTACATTATCTTTCGATTTCCAAAAAATAAATACCAAGATTTTATTGGGGAAAATAAAAATCTAAGAAAAACCCAAACTCCAAAATCGACCCACTTGAGATTTTAAATGAGATTTCAGCTAAGTGAAACTCCTTACTCTGCATTTAACTCAATGCTGGAAGACGGTCTCTAAATGTGAGTAGAAATAACATTTACACATACGACAGAAGCATGTTTGAAACCTTTTATTGAACAGGCAATGCATTGTGCAATGGTTGAGGACACAGATGCCTAGTGGAAAAGTTTAAAAATTATTTTTGGAAACCGTCTGTGAACGGATGCACCCTGCCGTGTTCCTTCTGCTTCTTCGTCGAGTGACGATCTTCAGGAAAACTGACTGTTTTATAGCAGCGCTTGGAAATGGCGTCCCTGTTTACCATAAATGTCATGTCCAGTAGTAAACACGAGGGGGGAAGGCAGGGTCCAAGGCGAGACAATGATCAGAGTCGCACGCTGATCTCGAGTGCAGGCACAGACACACATTCTGGGCTGCCTTCTCTTCTGGCCTGGCAGCCACGTCTTAGTTATGCATCCATGTTTCCTTTCCATATTCTTCCTTGTCCCAGCCCCTTTGATCAAGGGGATTCTGAAAGACTCGCATTCATACCTTCGGGCATGGGGCCTCGTTCCTGGCCCTTTTCAATGGTGTTCTTGTTTTCGGGCACCTCTGGCCCAGGACTGTGGCTGTGCATCTGTCCTCCTTGTTTGCCTGGTTCCTTCTTCCCTGAGCTCGCCCTTCCATAACCTGATGATAAAATCGCTCTTAAGTTTCACAGTTTGTTTGCCTTCAGTGGACGTTTTTCATGAAGTGTCCCATCAAGGTGGTGGACATTTTTTTCTTTCTTTCTTTTTTATTTTTTATTTTTATCACGCTGCCAACCTATTTTATAATTTGGGGCATGTCACTCCAAGCTTGTGATTTCTTTCTGGCGAGTTCCATCCAGGATGGCTGCTCTGCACTGGCATAACTAGCTCTCTTCAGCTGATGCAATTCTTTCTCCGTCATCACTGCAGACTGAGCTGCTAGAAGGAAGACAGAATAAACAGAAACCTGAGCAATAAATTTGGATTTTCACTTAAGCCTCTTGCATTTCTTTAAAATATGCATCAGGGTCTTAATCATGGTCTCATAAAATACTTACTGTGCAAAAAAAAAATGTAGAGAGGATTTAGGCACAGAACAACACAGAACAACTTCTGTGATAAAAGTTGTGATAAAAGGCAGGCTCAAACAGTGCCAATAATGTAGTAAGGAGAGAGAAACTTCCAGAATAAAACTGCAGAACTCTGGGGACTGGCTATACAAGTGTCAATATTCTTAACACTACTGAACTGCACATTTAAAAAGGGCTAAGATGGGGCTGGCCGAGTGGCTCAGTTGGTTAAGAGCTCACTCAAAAGTTTGAGCTCTGAGCAACAACGGTTCAATACCTGGCCTGAGCTGAGCTGCCGCTGAGCTGCCAACATGGTGGCAGGATGGCTCAGCTAAAAAAAAAAAAAAAAAAGGGTTAAAATGTTAACGTTTTGTTATGTGTATTCTACCACAATTAAAAAGAAATTTAAAAACACTGATACATACAATGATGAAATCTGAAAACGTTATGCTCAGTGAAAGAAGCCAGATACAAAAGAACACATATTTTATGATTCCATTTACAAGAAATGTCTATAAAAGGTAAATATAGGGAGGCAGAAAGTAGATTCATAGTTGCCTAGGGCTGGAGTGGGGAATGGTGAATGACTGTAAATGGCCATGAGGTTGCATTTTAGGGTGAGGGAAAGGTTTTAAAACTGGATTGTGATGGTTGTATGACTCAGTAAACACATATATACTCATTGTCAATCAGCACTTAATGAATTATACACTTAAAGAGGGTAAGTTTTGTGGCACGGAAATGATATCTCAATAAAAGCTGTTTTAAAACCATCAATGTGGTGTAATTAAAAACAAAACAAAACAAAACCTGTAAGACCCAACCCAGAAACGTGTTTCAGAGTGTTTGAGACAGACGATCTGCAGGTTTCATACCCAAGTTCTGATGGGACAAGGAAATCCCTCTTTGCAGCCCCTCCTGGAGGCAAAGCTTTGCCCCCTGCCTCCGTTCCACAGCAGGCTTCGCTGGAGCCATCAGGAAAGACTTGCTGCGGACAAAGTCAGCTTGCTTCATGGGCTCCTATTAGGACACGAGAAAGATACACACTGTCCGGTCACCGCAGGTTCAAATGGAGACAAACACAACCCAAAGCAATAAGCCACAAGGTCTCTCTGCCAACAGGAACTGTTCCGCTGGTGCTTTCTCGAGGGAGCTGTGCTTTGTGCACCAACATCCAGCCTGCAGAACACAGGTGCTCAGATGAGCAGGGCCTTCTCCTGGGCACACACAGGAGTCCTGGCTTCTGCCCTGTCCCCACCCCCGGCCTCAGCCCCAGATGTTGGACAGAAGAATGAACTGTGTTTGGAAATAGTTTTGAGGTTTTTAGGATCCATGGTATGCTCACTGATGCCCCAAACTGGATCGCAGGTTACTATTTGTTTTATAAATTCCCTAAGCCTGCACACAGGTTCTCAGGTATGGGGACGATTGAGGTTTGGGTTAAAATGAAGGGAAGCAGGTTCCATTGCAGACGCAAGTTCACCTCCCCACGTGGTTGAAATATGCTATGGATTCACCATGGTTGCTATGAGGAGGGATGTGAACGCTGTTGAGTCTCAGCCTCAACGTTGTTTCAGCACAGTTGTTTGGGTTTGAGAAAGCTGTTTTCAGTCCAGAGTGCAAAATGGAACCCTGGGTCCAGCCCTGTAGCCCTGTGTGGGGCGTATGGGATCCTGTCAGGCGGCCAGCGTAGCAGCCAAAGCAGGCCCAGTCCACCATCCCATAATGAGCAGAGATGAAGCTGTTGACATGGTCACCCACGTCTAACAGAGAAGTTATTTTAACCCTGTTCCATTTGCCCAGATGCTGTGTTGCCTAGGAGGCAGGGAGAGAGCACTACCTCCACCACCTAAGTGAACCACCAGCTTCTCTGCTTCCCTAACTGCCCAGCACACACTGAGGGCAGACAGCAGCCATCGTCCCAAGCCATGGGCTCTATAATGACCATGACCGTGCAGGATGCATTGTCCTCAAAGGTGCCAGCCCCCAGCCCCAGCCCCAGCTGGCTGCTCTCTCCTGCATCCACAGAGACAGGAAGTGTTTGCTCACCTGAGCTCTCTCGGGCACCTTAGCTTGCTTTCCTGTCTCAGACTTCTGAGTCTGGGCCCCAGGCTTGTCCTGCTGGTTGGGTGGCTGCTCTGGGGCCCCTCGTCGCTTCTGCCGAGTGATGGTGATCCAGGGTGGCCCAGACTGGCCCTCAGCTCCAGGCCCTGTTGCTGAGGGAGGCAGACCCTTATCTGTGGGTAGAAACGCACAGTTGTCAACACAGTCCTAGTCCCTCTTCAGTCTCACCTTTGGCCTCTCCCACACAGAGGACACTGTAGGTACAGGGCCTCGGGGGTGGGGGGGTGGGGGGGAGGAGGAGGTCTGGGAGCCTCTCTGGCGACAATGTTACTTTCCTTTAGGGGACTCTTATTTTCTCATTTAAAGATGAGCCAAAGAGATTATGCTCTTCTAGTCTGAGCCAACAAAAAATTAAATGCAACTGCTTCTATACCTACATTTTAGAGCCAACTTCTTCCTATGGGCTACTTCCTGGAATAAGATAAAATGAAGTCCATAAATTGGTAAGGTTTCTTTAGTATAAGCCTGTCGTGTTGGACCAGTACACACTGCCTAACTCTTGGTTTGTTTGGAAGATGCAGACACACTATTGTTCTCGTCTTTTAAAAATGGGAAGCATACCCTCCCCTTTGTGGAGAGTGACACCCAAACTAGCCACAGTAGTTTTCCTAATGTCCTGGAGAGAAGAGAAATCGTGTCTTTAAAACCGTGACGCTTTGCTGAATTTTTTTTCCACATTCACCGTGCTTACCTTTGGGTGGTACAACTGTGGGTCATCCCCACCCCCCCCGCCTTGCTTTTCAATTATTCTGTATTTTCATATTTTCTATGATGAGAATCTATTACCTTCATCAACAGAAAAAAGAAGCGAGTTTATTGTTTTCAAGGAAACCTAAGGATGACATAAGTGGCTTCTCGCAGGTTCAAAAGTACCTTCTCTCAAGAGTACCCTAGATCCAAATATTCCCCCCAGCCAGCCCCTCAGAATGTTTGCCTTCACCACACAGAGCAAAGACAGAGTCCATCTCCATATGCCTGGCCTCTGGCCCTCTATCGTCTTCTTCCTCCACTGTGCACCTCAGCCAGCTGGGGGAAGCCAGTACCTGTGTCCAGCAGATGTCCAAGGTGACTTAGCCTCATCACTACTTGTGGCCTGACACATGCCATCCCTTGCTCTGGTGTGTACAGAATATTTGTTTTTGTTTCTGCCTCCAGTTCAACCTGGAGTCCTTTTTAGCTCAGTCCCCTGCTCACCAAGGTGGGAGGAGGGACAGTAGCCACTGCCCTGCAAACCTCAGTCTCCCACCAGAGTTGAAAAGGGTTTTGGGCTTCATATACTGACCTCTCCTTGGCTTGGGCAGCTGGGAATGGCCCGCACTCTTCTGGCTGCTCCGAGGCCCTCACCCCACTGTCCCCTGGGACCCTGCTCCATTTCTGACTCATCCCTGGACTCTTCCTGCCTTTTCAGGCTCTCGTTGGGTGCTGACTTCCTTGCTGCTTTGTAAAATGCTTGGGTCTCCCACAGCACAAGAAAAAATGTCTCCACTGAGCCTCACCGTCCCCTTGAAGGCCCAGTCCTCAATTCCCCTCCACCCTTAACTCCTATGGCCTCTTTGTGTGTCTCTTCAGCTAATTCCTGACCCAGATACAACATGAACACTGTGCTATCTGCCAGCCACTGAACCATAATTCCTGACATCTTTCCCATTCTCAACTTCCTCTACGCCCCCGCAGCTCAGATGTGGCCACATAACCTCCCTCGGGAGACCTGTCCCCCTGGGGTGTTTCCTCTTCAGATCCTTGCTTGACTCTTGCTCTTAAACCTGGGAATTCTCCTTGTTCCAGACCCTCAGCTTTTCTCTTTTTCCCAAAACGTTCTCTCTGTCCCACTCCTGATTTCAACACAGATTTGCTTGGATTACTTCCAAACGTAAAATCCAGTCCAACTTTCTATTCTTAGCCAGAGCTCAACAATTCTACTCCCCTCCTCCTTCCTTCCACCCATCCCACCCATTTCATCCATCCATCCATCCATCCATCCATCCATCCATCCATCCATCCATCCATCATTTGCTATGGGCAAGGATTGTGTTAAATGCTAAGGTGAAAAAATGAACAAAAATTATTCTTGCAAAAAGCTCGAAGTCTAGCGGGGGAGACTAAGTACAAATAATTAACCGCGATGGAAATTGGAAAATACTACAATTCACAAAGTGCTCTGTAGACATGGCCTAATGCTGGCAGGAAGGATTGGAGGATGCTGTCGCAGCTGAGCCCTGGAGAAGGAGGCAAACCTTCTAGGCTGAGCAGAGGGGCAAGGTAGGCCTCCCAGGTAGGGGAGGAGGGCAGAGGCTGAGTTACCTGCAGACTGGCCCGGAGGGGCTACAGGGCAGAAAGGGTGACTGAGAAGGGTCCTTCTGGTCTTCTTGTTGTCCCTATGGGAAGCCGTGAGGGGTTGATCCAAGGGTACATCTGGAGGCCATGTGGGGAGTATGTCTGACTGGGAGGTGCAGAGGGAGGCTGTGGCCACAGTCCAGAGACGTGATGAGGGATTAGATGCTCTGTTCAGAAATCACCCCTCCTTGTCCACCAAGGCCCTGCCGAGTGCCGCCTCCTCCATGAAGGCTGTTCTGGTCACCCTAGCTGGATACGCTCTCCCTCTCCTAATTCTTCTATAATTCTCTGAGACATTTACCCCACTGATTGGTACTAGACATGTCTGCTAGCAACCGTCTATCACACTGATAGATGCTTTTGGTCATTAGAACGTCTTATTTATTTAACAAACACATGACATGGACTACATACCAGCCCCTGTTCTAATCGTAGCTAATTTAGCATGGAATTTTACATTTTATTTCTCGTCCAGAGACCCTGGCACATGAAAGGTGGACTGGGTGGTTGGATGTTTTACAGAAAGTCTGCATTTCTCAGCCCTTGTTCTCAATCCCTTGTTCACAGAGTTCTCATAGCCTCTATTTTCCAGGACTTTTCTGAAAAGTTTCCATTCATTTCTCTGATCTCTTATTCACACTCAGTGAAGTCACTACTAGTCATGCCCTCTGCTCTCTCCTGGCCTGAGATATCTGGCCGAGATGTCCCTTCAGCAGTGCCCAGCGCGTGCTGGTCACGCATCTTTGCCTCGCCACAGACAGACTGGAGAGAGGGATTTGACCGTGGGCTGAAAAACTTATTACATCAGTCAACAAAATATTCTGAGTAATTTGGTCAAGACGAAGCGTGCGTGGCAGAAAATTTGCATCCCGGGTTTTAATCTACAGGCAGAATGGTAGCTGTGAGATGACAAGGCAGGCCCAGCATCCCTAGAGGGCTCTGACTGGCTGTCGTGCCCCCTTGCAGCTCAGTGTGGGGCACCTGACACTTATGTCATTTTTACCACGAGGGCACAGACATAGCTCTGCCGAGTTCCTACGCCATGCAATCAGATTACACTCTTTCAGCCAACAAGGGCATTTAAAACTCATTGAAGAAGGTTATATGGAGCAGGGCATGTGCCATGTTCCTGGGGACTGTGGTGAGAGGAGGCCCTACCTACATCAAGGCTGTGGACCCCACGGGTGGACCAAGGCTGGGGACCCTTGTGGACCGTGCTGAAGGCCCACATCTCACACCTGAGGCAAATCATATTCTCCCTTCCAATTTGCTCATGGGAACCGCAGTCTGGTAAACAAGGCAATGAGGTTCAGCTTGGCCAGAGGTGGCTGTTTTCGCTTTTTACACCAAGAGTGTGCTGGCCGATTTCATCACAAGCAGAGAAGGGTCATTCCCTGCACTGCCTGTCTGTGGGGTACCAACGTTTTCAGTGTGTGTGTGTGTGTATGTGTGTGCCCACATGTCTGTATTCGTGGGTAGACCCACAGAAAGGAGTAAATGCCACAGCTGTTGCAGGCTGTGCCAGTGTGGGATAAGGCTACCTACAATGGCAATGTCACTAAGCGCTGGGCCAGGCATATGGCCCAGGTCTTTCAATAACCATTCAATAAACCATCTTTTTTGGTTCCTACTTCCTTTCCCCAGTGGTGGTCTTTCTTTGTAGTGTGTACTCTCCTTCCCACTTCCTCCTTATCAGGAAGGCAAGTGGGCCAGAGTGAGCCTGATACCTTCCAGATCCTTTCCCAGGGACTGTCCAGGGCCAGCCTCGTGGGGAGAGAAGGCACAGGACTGGTGGATGGGGTTCCACACACCAAGGAGAGAGAGAAAAACAGCAACACTTCCCAGCCATGATTCAGAAAGACCTGCGATTCCACCTGGAGCCTTAGGTAACCGATAGGTAAGTCCCTGTCCCAAGTGGACACAGGCAGAGCATCTGGGTGATGAGCCATTGTGCTCTGTGGCAGAAGGCCTAGGTGGCCACTCTGATCTGCACCCCACACCTGGCACCCACTGCAAGGTTGTGGGGTGTGTGCCATACTCCACAAGGGGAGGGCAGGGGAAGGGCAGGAAGAAGACACGGAAAATGTACAGGATGAGGCAGGTTTCCGGGGCCAAAGGCCTTCCGCCGTGACAGCTCTACAGCAGGAACATTCCGTCCGGGTCAAGGTTCCATCATAAAATAGCTTCTGAGATTCTACATGTTCAAAATGTCATTAGTTTCAGGAGAATGTAGATGTGGCATCTGATTAAGTAAAAAAGGTTGAAAATCCTTCTTTATTCTCCCCTTTCTGCCTCAAAACACAATTTTAACTAAGTCATTTGTATTTTGGAAGACCTAAAATTAGCCATTCAGAAAATCCTCATGTGAAGCCATTTCTAGAGATGTTCAACCATCCCACTTTTTGCTTCATTTTGACTCACTGGTTGGTGATTTTATTTTATTTTTGTGCCAATTAAAATTTAGCCTTAAGGCACTGTTTCTCTCATTCACAAAAACTCCTATAATGACAGGCTGAGGGGATGACAGTGGGATGCTAATGGTGGTCTACACCCCATATGGCAAGCCATGTGAGTCTGGAAGCTGGCAGTTGTCAAGAACACTGTCCTCCGAGCGACAGGCATGAGCTGTGCAGTGTACACTACTGTGCTTTCTTGTCCTTTGGCTGAGAAAATAAAAGATACTCTGCCCTAAGCTGACACCCAGGAAGGCGGCAGGGTTCTTATACCTCTGCCATTTTTGAAGCAGCAGTTTTTAAGAATCTTTTTCCTTTCGTGAAAT